ATCCGGGTGTTTTCTCTGTTGAAACTATTTCAGGGTTAACCGAAATGCTTCATGCAGCAATTGAGTGGTTTTTTCACCTACATCTAAAAGAGGAGGCGTCTTTAAGGACTTGGTGGAAAAGCTATGGGAGTGAGTTTGGTTGCAACACTTAATACTGGTTAGGACAGAAAAGCAAAAATTAACTTGTAATGTTTATATATAAGCTGCCTTGCAAGAAAGCTAAATTCTGTAATAAAGGCCATGTTGCATATAGAGTTTAGTTTGGTGTAGTATTATTGAGAGTGTTTGTTATAATTTCATCAGTTTCTCGCTTTTTGAAATGTGCGTTCTCACATCTACAAATAATGCAGTAGTTAGAATCTAAACTGAGATTTAAATAGTATTTAGAAGTGCACTGCTTCTAAGGCACAATTATATCTAGGTTCTAGGAGAAATAATGATAAAAAATACAGGAAAAAATTAAATATTTGTATTTTTAGACTATATTTAGAATAGTTACAATTGATCACTACATTGAATATGAAAATATTTTAATTTCAAATATATTTGACAGTCTTATTTGTGCCTATATTAAACTTTTAAATGATTGCAAGAAGGCAGTTAAGTAAATTCAATGTGGTCAAAACACTAATGATTCAACATTACCTAGATGACACTTTGTGAACAAGTAAAATAATTTTAAAAGATCATTTTAAGAAAATTTTTAAATTTCAAAATCACACTTCAATAACTCACAGGAGAGTGTAAGACTCATATTTCCAGCACAGTGGTGACTTGAATACCCTAACTGACTCTCCTAAAAAATGTTTGCTAAAATAGTACTAAAATATCTTTTTCAACATTGATAAGCTGGTAAGAAATTAAAACTCTTAAAAGCCAAAACCTAAATGAATGCAGAGCCCACAAGAATAAGCACTGAAGCTGCTTCCATTTAGATAGCTTTTGCCAAACTAGGTAAACTTCAGCTTTGTGGCTGTTGTTGTTGTTATGTTTATGTAATTGTCCACGAAAATTCAATTTGTGTTCCCCTGTCCAGAGTACTGAGTCATCACTACCCACCCGAAGATTCTATTTCCCCACCCCACCTCCCTCACATCCCTGTGGGGCAATGTGACTAGTTCTCACTGGTAAACTGATAAAATATATGTCATTTCTGGTCCAAGAGGGTTAAGAAGTGGATGTGTCTTCTTCATACTCTCTTTTCCTATTTGCTAATTGGGATCAAAAGATCCCAAGGCCCCAGAGAATGATGGAGCTGCAAGAAGGAAGTAGCCCAGGTCCCTAAACCACCAGATGAAATTCACAGAAGATAATTCACAGAAGAAACTAAACAGCCAAAAACCATGTAAATAGATGCTCAGCTTCACTAGGATTCAGGGAAATTCACTTTAAAACAACAAGGTCCCATTTCAGAACATCAGATTAGCCAATATTTAAAGACCTAACAAAGCCAATAACTGGTGAGGATATAGGACAGGGAAAACTGTCACATACTACTACTAGGGGTATACACTGATGTCCCATTTTGGAGACCACCTAGTAATATTTAGTAAAATAAAAGTGTTCATAATTTCCAACTCAGCATTCTACTTCTAGGTGCCTATGCTAAAAAAACTAACACATGTTCACAATAAAAAATGTATTACACTGCCCATTGTATAGGAGAAAAATGCAAGTAAAAGTTAATCAAGAAGAGAATAGATAAATAAATCTGGCTCCATTAATTAATAGAATATAAACAGCAGTTAAAATGAATACACAAGAACTACGTACATCAACATAGAAAACATAAAACAAAAACAAAATGTTCAGTGATAAAAGCCAGCTGTAATTTGGAAATGGATAATGATGATGGTTGCACAACATGATGAATACAATTAATGTCACTAAATTGTACATCTGAACAATGTTGAAATGGCAAATGCTTTGTTACATATACAGTGAAACCTAGAAGGCCAGAACTCGGCAGGACTGCCTTGTTTTTCCAGGTCTCAAAAGTCTTCCACTTTTGACAGGGTAAGTCTTACCATTTTTCTGTCACTCTCTATTGTGGAAAATATTTGAGTTCTCCTTCTCTGACAGGTTTCCACCTTACATAGGATCCTGCTCTCAAAGGTTTACTGTATACAGTCATCCCTCGGTATCCGAGTGGGACTGGTTCCAGGACCCTCACGGCTACCAAAATCCTTGGATGCTCAAGTCCCTTATAAAACATGGCGTAGTATTTGCATATAACCTCCGCACATCCTCTTGTATACTTTGACTCAGCTCTAGATTACTTATAATACCTAATACAATGTAAGTGCTGTGTAAATAGTTGTTTCCTCACAATTGAAGACTTGCTCTGGAAGGTAGCCTTTCTCTTCTATGAGTTTCTTGAGCTTTTCTGGGAACACTGATGCTGCTGATTCCACCCGTGATCTTGAACTTCTTGAGGCTGTAGCGCTTTACATAGCTAGCCAGCCATCTCTTACCAGCCTGAAACTCCTTCCTCTTGCCATCTTCAACCCCGTCATACTCAGCCTTTGAGGGACTGCTTTTTTTCACAGAGCCATTTTTTCACAGAAGCAAAGGGTACACACAACACAAGTAGCCAACGAACAAGAGCTGAGGTGAAAATGCTCAAACAACGAGAGCTGGAGAGAGACTGAGGATCTGTGAGATGGGTGTGCCTACACATCACTTCATTTATGTGGGTTCAGCAGGGTGCTCGGTGCGTGGCAAATTCAAGTTTTGCTTTTGGGAACTTTTTTTTTTTTCCCCTGAATATTTTCGACCCGCGGTTGGTTGAATCTGCAGATGCAGAACCAGCAGATATGAGGGGTGACTGTATTTACCACAATAAAAAAAGTAAGCTGTAGAAGTATATATACAGTATAAAACTTGAATAAAATTTAAAAGATGAAAATCAATACTATGTACTGGATACATTATCTAGTATAACTATAGAAATATGCGTAAAAATGATAAACACTAAATTCAGGATAGTGATTACCTTTGGGGAAGGAGGGAGGGGAATGGAATAGGGTGGCAGGGTGCAAATACAAGGAAGCACCCATTCTCAAGTTTATGCAAGTGCAGGGCACAAACCTAAGAGTGGGTGCCTCCTTAAATTTTGTACCCTCAGCATCTCACTTGGCTCACGCTAGTCTTGACTCTGTTAGGTGGGGTACACAGAAACGTCAACTGCTATCTGTGGAGATTTATTTCTTCCCTTTAAAGAAAATCTGCTGTGCAAGCATCCCTACAGAGAGGGTTTGTATTTGCTTCTGCTGGATTTCACATGTATGACTAATTGTTATGTTACTTTCTTGGACTGAAATTGTCACAAAATGTGAATATTAAGAGATTTGGACTCCAAACACAAATGTAATGAGGACTTGGTATAGCGATTTCTCATGGGAAAGTCCTTTTCTCTTTACAGAATAACCAAGAGAAAGACATGTGACTAAGCTTGGTAGCAAGCTTCTCTCCCATATCTTTGCATCTTTAGCAGAAAAACATGAGGATAAGTAGGGGGAAAACTGATTTGGAGTATATGCCAAGGGCAGCACCCTGAGTAGTTCCTGCAGAGTTGGGTCCTGTACTATTTCCAAGTCTAGTTCTCCAGCTTTCCCAACCCAAAACCCTCCAAAAATTTCCCGTTTTGCTTAATTTAACCAGAGTCAATTTCTCTTGTTTGCAACCAAAAAACTCTGATACACTTGTCGCATATTATTAAACAATGAATTTATATAATTCCACTTGCTCTGATTCTACTCTTTGGAGGCAACTTCCTTACCATGATTTAATTTCCCATTTAGATTTGCCTACAGAGAGTGTGTACTAGAACTTCTAACCTAAATATTTCAGGACATGAAACTGTTGCACTGCTCTCAGTTAATGGATTACAATGCTGAACAGGTTTTAGTGGAGCTTCCAGACTAAGACAGTCTAGGAAGAAAGGCCTGGCAATCTATTTCAGAAAATCAGCCAACAAAACCCTATGGATCACAACAGTCTGATCCACAACCAATCGTGGGGATGGTGCAGGACTAGGCAACACTTTGCTCCACTGTGCACACGGTCACCATGAGTCCGGGGCCACCCTGATGGACACTGACAACAGTAACATTTTCTTTTTATACATAAGTCTCATAAACTTAATTAACGTGAGTTTTCCCCAAGAAAGATGGATCTGCTGTTAGATTTGTGAGAAAATGAAATTTCTAGGCTTGAAAACTGAGAACCAAATCCTGGACAATCACCCAAGATAATGGTGGAGCCTCTAGGAAATAGTTGCTGTTCCTTCTGGTAGCCAAAATACCATTGACTAAGTGTTCTGTGTTTTCCCTATTACACGTCTATCTACATTAGTTGTTTTAAACTCCTTGCGTTTGTACCTCTCTCTGAGGTACTCTTTTCCCCATATTAAAACCTCTAGTTTTCATTTTCTTTTCACAGCAGATAAAATAGGTATATTCCAGGCTCAGTGAACAGTCAGGTCTTTCTAGTAAAAATAAAAAGCATAATTTACAATTTCCAATGAGGGAATAAAAGCATTCATCTCTCTCTGTCTCTCTCTATACACCCTCCTTTCTCCCTCTCTCTCTCTCTCTCAATCACACACACATACTAACATTTCATATAAATCAAAATGAATTTTAACAATAGACTTCAAGAAAAAAGTCACAAAAGGCAGCCTTGAGAGAGAAGGCAGGATGGAGAATACCCATCGGCTATACATTGCTGACACATGAGGCTAAAGTGCTGCTTGTACATGTATGAGCCTCCTCATTTTTTAAAGTTCTGGCTGTCAATTCTACTTCCTTCAACTGAATACTGTGGGGTGATTAATATCTAAAGGATATACCATGGACTTTTGTTCCCCACATTCATGGCTATGTCCCCGGTGCCTGAATAAAGACTTGCCCAGATGATCTTTGGTCCTAGCTACACTAAAAATTATAGTCTGAGCTATTCCGCCAGTACACCAACTATGGCACGTAGAGTTGTCTTACCTCCTCTGTCTTTAAAACTTCCCATATTCGAGCATGATCTTCCACCAGCCAGTGTCCAGTGCTGTCTACCTTGGTGGGAAGTTTGGACTTAGACACCACTTGACTAGGCTCTCCCACAGTATTCTCCTCCATCTTGAAAGAGCCAGGCAGGAGGCATTACGGATCTGTATGGAAGAATAAAGTGTGACCCAGATTAAAACATTAAATAACATAAAAAGGGATATGAAAGCAAATGATCATGTTTGATTTGTGGATAATGAGACCATTGAAGACAGTATCACAATAGGTTTTATGGCCCCTTTTTATATTCTAAATATTCGTTATTGGTATTTTAATGCAGTCATGTGGAGAAAAGGATGCATTTTGGTAACAGAAACAGTGATATAGCTTTTAAAGCAAAACAAAAACCATCATCCATCTATTATATCTGCTCATCACTTTGCTCTTGGTCCCGCAGGAGGAGAGATGGAAATGTGTGGACATAAGGCACACCTGAGTGATGGTTTCATATTTCCATGTCACTTGATGCATGTGGAAGAAGCACTGGCTATGAAGTCAGGAGAAGTTCATTTATTTGCTCTTCAAACATCTATCGGGCACTGTTGATACCAGGCTCCACGCTGGTATCACACAACCAATGATTTGGTAGTATGGTTCTTAATCTCAGGAAGCTTAGAGCCTCAAGGTAGAAAAGATTGTAAGCAAGTAATTACAGTATAGTTTATTACAATATAGTGTGTTAAATGTCACAATAATCATGTCTACAAACTGCAATGGAAGCGCAGAGGAAGATTTCCTTTGACATTCGTTGGCTGTGTTACTTTCCAGTTTTATCAGCAACTGCTGTGATGATAATACTAAAAATTCGATACTAATTCTGTAGTGTCTACTTTCTTGACATCTTTCTCGTTCCACCTGCCATGACTTGTTCAGAACCTCATCATATCTTGCCTGGGTCAGCACCGTACTCTCCTAAGCAGTCTCCTTGCTGCCATATTAGTCCCCTCAAATTTATCCTTCTCGGGATAAAATCTTTAATGATGCTCTGCCAACTTTAAAACTCTCCTAGAGATTAAAATCTAAACTCCTTAACATGGCACCTAAAGCCCTTTGTGTCTGGCTTCTTCCACCTCCTTTATCTCACCTTGTCCGCTGCTGCCTCCTCAGCCACTCTGTTTCAGCCATTTGATAACACTTATGGTCTCCAAGCATATCCAGCTCAGTTACCTTTAGCCTTTGTGATACTGTCCCCCACCCCAAGAGACTACAGCCCCCCCAACGTTTGGTACTTTATGTACTCTGGACAGATTTCTATCATTTCACCTATAGTACTTTCTTATATTTATTTGCTTTCAACTCTATCTCCAACTTCTAGTCTTAGCGGTTGAAACTAAAGACAGTATCATAAGTAGGTTGTTGTTTTTGTTGTTAGCTGTCATGGCCCCTGACTCACGGTGACCCCAGGCACAATGGATGAAACGCTGCCCAGTTCTGTACCATCCCGTGATTGGTTGCAGATCGAACCGTTGTGATCCACAAGGTTTGCAGTGGCTGATTTTTGGAAGTAAATTGCCAGGTCTTTGCCTTAGTCTGGAAGCTCTGCTGAAACCCGTTCAGCATCACAGCAATAAGCAATGCTCCACTGACAGATGAGTGGTGGCTGTGCATGAGATGCATTGGCCAAATGAGAATCAACCCAGGTCTCCCTTAAAGAAGGTGAGAATTCTATCACTGAACCACCACTGCCTTCATCATATACACAGTAAGCACTAAATAAATGTTTGATGAATTAGTTAATTTAGTGACTCAGCAAATAAATGAGAATCCAGTGAAAAGGAGGCAGCAGCTCTAATGTGTTCAAATAACAAATGTAAGAATCAAGTTACCTCTTGTCTTTGTTAACTTTTCTATTGACTTAGTGCTATAAGCTTTTCATAGAGTCCAAATCTAACATCCAACGCCCAAGTAGCTAATATGTAAACTGTACTTGCTTAATTAGTCTACATGGAAATTTCTAGAAAAAGCAGTTCTTATGCTCACATATTCCACTGCCCAAATAAAAGTAAATGCAAATATATTACTGAACATTTTGATCAAAGATTCCACATTAGAATCTTTGCTCAAAAGGGGTAAAATGCAGAATAAAATTTTAAATTCTCATTTAATCCAGAGTTTCTGGTGCCATCGAGGCTGGATGAACACCTAAAACTATTGTCCTAAGGTAACTTTACATCTTAAACCAAAAATATCCCTTGAAGTCTTCTTAAAACTAAAAAATAGTTTAGCTTAACTAGTAAAGAATGTCTGCCTTGAGCATTATGCTCTTTTAAGATCTATCTATATGGGATCAAATTGACATAGTAACTCGAAAGATTAGATAGGAACCTTAAGAAGCAGTGAGTTTATTTAATGCAAGAGGAACAATTTGGAAAAGGAGGGTGAGAATGTAATCAATGTCACTGCAATGTACATGTAGAAACCTGAATTGGTATATATTTTGCTGTGTATATTCTCAACAACAACAAATAAAATATTTTTTTAAAAAAGTAAAAGGAAATAGGCTTTGTTAAGAAGGGCGGGGGGGTGGTGGTGACAATTCAGAGGATTTGGGAAAACCAATCTGCAGAGGAGTTACTTCTCTGCCTTGGGGCTTCAGAGCTCCATCCGTAAGCCAAGGAGAGCAAGCCCACCTGCTTTTGCAGAGAGCGGTGACGAGGAAACCGCTAAACAGAAATGTGAAGTACAGTACTTGGAAACGTGAAGCACTTAATACACTCACGTTAGGAAGCAGTAAGCAGAACCTTTACAATTAGTGAACGAAGTTCTTCTGAGCACACACGCTAATAAACAAAGACAAGTCATGTGCAGCTTTTAGTCCCGAAAAAGTAAGTTAAAATAAACAGGCAAAATGGAAACAGGCCAGCTTAGTAGGAAAGGAAATTCCATTGTTGTTATTGGAGATAAGACTGTAGATAACAAACAATAAATCAAAACAAAGTGGAAAAACTACATCAGATTGTTTTGGCTCTATCCTTTGTATATCACGGAAAAGCAACTCGATAAAATAGACAAACTAGGAAATCTCAGGGCAAACAATGGAACATCTGTAAGTGTAATATGTCCTCGTGGCCTCACTGTTCTCTCTCTACTGTCTGCCCACAGCTGCTTTCTCATCTCCTCAGTGTGGGTGAAAACTGGCAAATTTTCTGTGTTGGAAACTGAACTCAACTGTGTACTGACTTCCCACAGATTGTTCCTCACCCTGCTTGGAAGGAAGACACAATTCCCAGTCTTAAACCATTCCAAAGCACTCAGGAACTAAGGAGGGACGCAGAGAGGTAGCCAGCTCTTACAAGGCTCTTCAAGCATTTTGAGATCCTCCACCCTATCTGAGACTTAAGCAGCTTTTTACCCATCCTCAGTACAACTCCTCATTCATGAAAAATGACCACATATACAATACATGTTAAGCTCCTGTTTCATAGCAGCCAGTGTGCTAGGTTATTTTCCACATTCTTTAATCCACACAATAACCCTGCAAGGTAGAGACCACCACGTTACAGCTATGTAAAGTGAGACTCACTATACTGCTACAAAGTTGCAGGGTTTCAAAGTTCATGCTCTTTCCCCTAGGGTAGTCCAGAAGACCTTCAGCCCTCTCCCTCCATCACTGGTGGGTATGAGACCTTCCCCCTAGTGCCCCTTCCCCATGGATGGAAGCTAGAGTACGTATCATAGCGAAATGACACGAGTATCCCTTTGGGAGACAATCACATCTGATGTATGAAGCAGAGTAGATAGGTAAGGGTGACAACAGATATAAGCAAGGAAAACAAAATGGGAAAATAGATCATTCCTTCTCCTTTTTACTCCCATCTCAGCTTCGACCAGGGCGGGCTTTATCGGCATCCGACCTTTGTAGTCACACAGGTCCCATGCTCAGAAGGGCCCTGTGCTTGATTTAATACTCTGCTATCACTCTCTTAATAATTTTTAACAACAGACACACACACAACAAGTAGCCCCATAATTTCATTTTTCACTGATCCCCACAAATTTATATAGCCAGTCCTGCTACTGATCCACTTTTCCCTCTTTAAATCTAAAGTTCTACACAACTCTTTCTTTTAAAAACTCACACATTATAGATTTCCTACCTATTTCCATAAAAAGAGCTAGAAGTCTATCTAGTGGAGGCATTTTTTGTTAGAATTAAAACAAGAAGCATATGGAGACCTTCCTCTACCACACTGTATGCCGCACATCTTAGAGCTGAACAACTGTCTTCTTTTCGCATAACACACGGTCAAAGTTTACAAGCCAGCCTCTATGCAAATATCACTAACATGAGCCCATTCAACAGTGCCATCGACAGGCTGAAATCAGTGTAAACCTAAAAGGCAAAATCTTCAGTTCTACTTAAGAATTGTTCTAAAATACCATAAAACTAACAAGCTCTTTTGGGTATCAGTTTTGAAGAACTGTCAACCTAAAATATCTGATACCCAAAGAAGGATTTTTTTTAATTGCTGGATGGCAAGGTCAGTTGGAGGTGGGGTGCGGAAAAGAAGCTATATGTATATATAAAAGCAAATATCTGATCATAGAAAATAGAAGCAAACTTTTTCTCAAAATTTAAAAAAGAAAATTTCTTGGGAACTGTTTTTTCTAACTGCACAAGGATTGTCATGAAGCGGAGAAGTAAAACAAGAACAGGGAAGATAAGTGTGACGGAATGGAAGAAAGACGCTCTTGCTTGACACTGAACCATTTGCGGATGAGAAATGCCACTGTAAGCCTTTGTCTTCAAGTCCAGAGCCCTAACACCCCCCACAAAAGCTGAAGGATTTTTTTATTAAAATTCATTAAATTTAGGTTAAATCAAAAGATCATTCTAAAAGGACCAGACTTACTGGTCTCACAGAGACTGGAGGAACCCCTGAGACTATGGCCCCTGGACACCCTGCTAACTCAGAACTGAAGCCACTCCTGAAGTCCACCTTTCAGCCAAAGAGTAGACAGGCCTATAAAACAAACAGTAACACAGGTGAGGAACATGCTTCTTAGTTCAATCAAGTATACGAGAGCAAATGGGCAACACCTGACCAAAAGCAAAGCTGAGAAGGCAGGAAGGGACAGGAAAACCGGA